TAATTAGCTTGATTTAGCCATTCCACAATGTATATACTTAAATAAAAATATCCTGTACACCACGATATAAATTTTTGTTAATAAAAATATAATAGAGCCAAGCATTACATTTAGCTGCCACGTCTCTTTATTCTTCTACTTCAAACAACCGAGCACCTGTACTGTCCTTTCCTTTCTTCCTTCTTTCTTTTTTCTCCATCTTTCTTCCATTTTCTTCCTTCCATTCCTCTCTTTTCCTCCTTTTCTTCCTTTTTTTTTCCTGATCTTTCTTGACATTGCTGGTTTTAAAAGTTAAGCTTTTAACCATTTGGATTTTTTTTTTTTTTTTTTTACTGGGTCTTGCTGTGGAGTTCAAGCTGGCTTTGAATTCATTATTTAGCCCAAGATGGCCTCAAACTCATGGAGATCCTCCTGCTGAGCTTCCCAAGGCTGAGATTACAGGTGAGTGTCATCACATCTGGCTTTCATACCATTTGGATTTGTTTGTGATCTTCCTTGTCATCAGACTCATATAAATGTTTTGGCCATGATACCTCATGGGAGACACCATGTACTTCCCTTTGGCCTGGAACCGGAGATACTAAGTGCTTGACTGCTGGGTAAGGTACTGTCTCTCCATAGTAAAGACATTTTCTCTTTGTACTTTCACTTTCTTGCAGCACCTGATGCGTACTACGCACTGTAGAACTGAGCTACACCCCTGGCCTCTCTTTGCAATTGTAAACCCATGTAATAATGGTATTTAGAGACCACGTAAATATTTGTTCTCCAGTGACATTTTACCCCGTGGTTTTAATATCCACTGATGATCCTTGCAGAAAACAGTGATTACTTTAGCAGTAATTATCAATAGGAATTTTGTAATCCTAGTCAATATTAACTGCACTCTCCTGTGAAGACAGGCTTTTCCCCTTCCCACTTCCCCGTCCCCTTCTATGTTTAAGCATTACTCTAGACCAGTGATGATGAACTTTTTAGAGACAAGGGCCCAACTGCAACCCTAACCAACTTGTTTATCACAAAGTGCCAATCCTGCAATTAAACCTGAACACTATAGTTTTAGTGTAGAAAAAACAATTCATACATTAACATCTTTTGTCTTTCTTTTTTTTTTTTTTTTTTGGTACTGGGGATCGAACTCAGGTCCTTGAGCTTGCGAGGCAGTCGCCAGAAGCGCTGAGCTAAATCCCCAGCACCATCTTTTGTCTTAAAAGAAAGGACCAGCCTGAACTACAGAGAGAGACCCTGTCTCAAGAGAAAAGTTCCTTTTCTCCACTGATCAGTCCAGCAGTTACAAGTCTACTTCTGGCAACAGTAAGAATGTTTAGAACATTTCCTTCCTTTTTCCCCTCAAATCCCTTCTGTGATATTGTTTCCCCTCCCTCCTTTCTCTCCTTTTATTAACTGGATGTGAGCTGTAGTACCAAATGCTTGGCTTTAGTGCTGGGTCAGCAAGAACGTCCTGGTTTTTTCTTCATCTCTACTTTCAGTCCCAAGGATGTGCCCTTTCTGCTCTGGGGGCTTCTCCCTGCTTTGCTGGCTGCTGAAATGGTTTCTTTAACGGAGGAGGCAAATAAAGGCAGGAAGCAGAGATCATGGACATTATTTCTCCCTCTGCCCCTACCCCTTTTCTCCCTTCCCAGAGGCCCTCCCTAAACCCCAGCTGAGCGCCTGCTGTACCAGGCCCAAGAGAGGCAGCAAACAAGGCTCTAGGGTGAAGGCAGCCTTTCATGGGATGAAAGAAATGGTCCCTGCCTTCCAGGGACCTCCCACTGGGACCCCAAAGAAGACAAGCTCTCCTTAATTAAGATAGAGGATGCGGAAACCCATCAAGGTGATTTCTTGGCAACTCTTTCCAATAGTTATGATATTTAGGAGGTATTGTAATGAATAATCTCCCACAAACAACTTATTCTGCCCTGGACAATATCTCTTTACACCTTAACATGTGTATAGGTTTTTCTTTTCTATCAATTGGTATGTGGTCTAAGAATGCAAAGACATTTAAATAGCAAGACAAATAAATTTGGGTGTAGTCATACTGTGGAATACAATACATTCATTAAGAATGTTGCTCACAGCCAGGCCTGGCAGTGCACACCTGTAATGTTAACACTCTGGGAGGCTGCGGCAGAAGATCGAGAGTCTGAGGCCAACCTGGGCAAATTAGCAACTTGGTGCGATCTTGTCTCTGAATACAAAAGGGGCAGGGATGTAGTTCTGTGTGAAGACCCTGGGTACAATCTGTAGTAATGCCAAAAAATGAAAAAATAAAAAGTATGTTGCTTATCATAGGCAGGGAAGAAAGGAGTTGTGCTAGGTAGAAAGCCATTTGTTAACAACAGAACTTTCACAGTGGTTTTCTTGAGTGGTGGGATTTCAAGGGTTCAACTTGGGGCCTCTGGCAGGCCAAACACACTACCGTGGAGCCCACAAATGTTTGTCTTCCTACTTTTATTTTTCAAGGTAATATCATAGTTATGTTTTTTTGTGACAAAAATGAATAATTATTTTATCTCTTTTTTTCCCCCTTTTTTAGAGCTGGGGATTGAACCCAGGCCTGGCACTTGCTAGGCAGGTGCTCTGCCACTGAGCTACATCCTTAGCCTAGAAAGCTATTTTCAGTACACAAAAGTGATGATTTTACAGCAAAAATTCCTGTATATATGCCAAAGCTGCATGTGATTAACTGTCAGAACAACACAACAACAAAAAAAGAACATGCTTTCCTCTGACTTTTCCAAATCTGTCCAGGACTCTGGTTTTTTCTAGATTCTAAGCTTATGTAACAGGTCACATCCTGGGACTTTTCTGAGGGATGACAATCTTTAAAAAAACTTGCTTCAAGCCAAGCGTAGTGGCACACGCCTGTAATCCCAGCACTCGGGAGGCTGAGGCAGGAGGATCACTGTGAGTTTGAGACCAGCCTGGGCTACATAGTGAGTTCCAGGTCAGTCTCAACTACATAGTGAGACCCTGCCTCCAAAAAAAAAAAAAAACAAAAAAACAAAAAACAAAAAACAAAAAAACTTGCTTCAGAAAAATTTGAGGTTGAAGAGAAAAATATGAGGTTTTCAGGAAGGAAGAAAGATCTGTATGACTTCATTTGTCAAAAGTGCAAGGTTCAATCCCCGATACCAAAAAAAAAAAAAATCTGATGGGGGGCCGGGGATTTAGCTCAGCAGTTCAGTGGCCTGCCTTGTAAGCGCAAGGACCCGAGTTCAATCCCCGGTATCCCCCCCAAAAAAGTGCAAGGTTTTCTTGAGGAGCCTGGATTTATTAGACAAGGTCAAAGAGCAAGTTACTGAGAGGCTATTTCAGGAAAAGGCTCTGAGATGATTCTGTCCCTCCCAACAGGTGCTGTGATGGGCCTGCTTGACTTGGGATATCAGATCACAGCAGACCAGACCGCAAATACTAATTTGAGAGGGGTGGCAATTTTCTAAATTAAGTTCAGGTAAAACACCTAACAAAAGAAGCCCTGTGTGGAAATGGCAACCATGCAGGAGATGCTGAGATGCCCGGTGACTGCCTGGGGCCACGGGAGCCCACCCATTCCTGCTAACGGAGGGGCAGAAAGCAAGCACAGAAGTCCGGGTAGCTGAGAGTCTCACACTCATGCTGGCTTCTGGGAGCGCTGTGACAGAAGGCGTTTGTCCTGTGTCACTTCTCACTTTCAAGTCAGTATTTCCAAGAAGTTGCTTTTATACCTTGGCACGTGGAGGTTAAAAAGGAGATTGTATTTCGGTGTCCTTAGCTGTGGCTGAGACGTCCCGTGTGCTGGTCACAGCCGGCAGGGAGGCTCACTCGGGAGGGGAAACCTATTTTTAGGCAGCTCATTTTGCTCCCAGAACTAACATGGGGAGGTTTTTACACAGCTGTGCTACCAAGTGCGGTCCTCAGACCAGGAACATGCAACACCCGGAGCCTGTCCCGGACCCACGTGAGGGGGTGGTGCACCTCAGGCAACACCACGCCCTGGTGATCTGTAGGAGGACGGAGTTGGAGACGATGTATGACTGGTGTGGAATGTTACGCACGTCTGGATTTTTGTTTCCTACCTATTTTCAAATATACTGAAGCTAAAATACGGTGGCAAAAAATGATTCCTCCTCTAGTTAAAATATATGTGTTTCTCCCAACTAAGGTATGACATTTATGATTTCCCTTTCAAACCTAGTTTCCTCAGGTTGGCATTTTTCAGCTGTACCAATTTCCTAAATTACACTCGGCTTTTTGTTTTTTGGTATTCAGGGATGGAACTCAGGTCCTTGTGCTTGCGAGGCAGGTGGCGGAACCACTGAGCTAAATCCCCGGCCCAACACTCGGCTTTTTGTGATCCTAGGCACACTTTATTTTTGATGAAGGATAATACCACAGACTTATAAAATTTTTGTTCTCTACCCTCTTACAATTTTCTGCGAATGTATTTTTCCCTGTCTACTTATTTTCTTACAGTGTTTGGGAGTAATTTTACATTTTTTAAAGGTTCAGGGTATGAAACTCAGGACCCCGAGCTTGCCAGGCAGGCACAGCACCACCACAGTGCCTCCTCAGCCCCTAACTGTGTTTCTGAACTGAGGCTCCTTTCCCTTGCTCAGCATCGTGGAGGAGAGGCTCTGATTTCTAGGGGAAGTGTGCCGGCAATGTGCTCAGCGGCTGAGAAGCCACGGTGGGACCTGAGCAGACGGGAGCTCGGGAGGCGGGGGCAGGCTCCCTGCTCTGCACAACCCTGCCCTTGCCTCTGGGAAACTCCTCTCTGTGAATGAACGGCAGGCCTAGTCCCGCGGAGCACGCCGACTCCCATTCACCCTTGACTTTGGGGGGAAATGGTAGAGAACCTCGAGGGAGGATTTATAGATCAGTATGAAGTAGCAATGACTGTTATTACTGAAGACCGTTTTGAGGGTCCTCTAAACGTGGGGATTAAGCAAAAGTAAGAGGTGTAGGGGACCTGACGCCGGGCCCCGCTGGCGTCCTCTTAGAAAGTTTGCTCTTACCTGATTGTCGAACCCGCTGCAGAGTCTGCTGGACCAGAACCTCTGATCTCGGGACAATGATAATGAAGTCCACTTTGCTGAAGTGGCCGAGGTCCAGGCTCTGGCTGCCACTGTCCGCAATGGCACACACCTGGGATAAGAGTTTTCTGGCAACTGTAAGCTGCGGTTGATAAATTTGGAAGGTTTCAGTATCTAAATCTAAAATTAAAAAGAGTTATAAGAACAAGATTAATTCACTTCTGTCCATGTAGGGACTTAAACGCATGGTAACTAGTGCTCCATCACCGAGAATTCTCACTTGTTTTCTCATCTGCTACTGAGTTTTAACAGATTTGCCGACTTCTGAAAACTTGGCTGAGAATACGAGCGCAGTTTCAGGCTGAGCCGGGACTCATCAGTGAACAGGGCAGAGCGGTCAGTTTTGGGGGATCTGAGCACAGGGGGCCATCGGAGCCCTGCTCCAACTGCAGGAAGGAGGTGACAGGGTAACTAGGATCCTGCTGGGCTGCTTTTCCAGATGGCACCGCAACAACCCTTCCTCTGCAGCAAGTCAACTGCAAGCAACACAGTCTGAAACTTCTTTTCTGGTGACTGCAGAGCGGAGGTCACAGAGACTCGACCCTCACTTTTCCTCCCACTCACTGGACTCTGCCAGCACCTGTGACCTGGCAGGACTGTGTTATACAGCCTGTGCCAGCACTGAGGCCAGGCCTATCTGGGGACACAGACCGGTGACACGGCCAGCTGGCCGTTCAGTATGTGACGTGTTACACAACAGTGTCCAGCTACTCCGTGCCTGTCAGGAGCCTTTTACTCAAGCTCTGGTGCATGCAAGGTCCACACACAGTGACAGGCAGGCCAGGCCACATAAGGGACACCTGAGCAGGCCGTGGTGTTGAGCTTTCAGCGCTTTCAAGGGTAACAAGCAACCCACTGCAAGCCTTGTCCCCACTGCCTTAAGGGATGCTTTTTTTTTTTTAAATCAGGAACACATGTTGGCATCTGACTGGAACACAATCACAACAGCCTAATTAACGTGTTTTAATTAACGTTTTCTAAAATCAAACGGTGATTTTTGACAGTAGTTGCAACACCCAGGTACAGTGGATACTGACTGATACAGCAGTCTCCCGACAGGCAAAGGACCATTAGCAGGACCCTGGGGTGCACATTTTAGTAGTAAGACTGGGCTGCAGCTCCATGTGGCACGGTAGCCTAGCATGTGCAAGGCCCCGGGTTCAATCCTCAGCACTGAAAAAAAAAAAAACCCAACAGGTTTTTTCCTACAAAAACAACCAAACAAAACAAGTCTGCCTTCTGACACAGCGGCCGTTTCCTTCATTTCACAGCTTGATGGACAGGGACTAAGCATATACATAAATGTGTAGGATTTACCTTCGCAGACTTTGAAGTTTGAGTTAATACCAAATTATCTTTAGCAACATTTCATAAGTGGGAGACCAAGGCTCTGTGCTTCAGTATATACTGGATCTGTCAGTACTCAGGGAACATTTAAATTCTGTACTTGTTAACAATTCAAAACGAATAGAAACACATTTTAGACAATCTGGTTGATCACTTTACTATCAAATACTATCCAGAAGTCAGAACATTTTACGGCCTGTGTTTGTATTCGTTTAAGGACTGAACTGATGCAAAGCCAGGCTACTTTTACTGCCCGAGGGATCCTCATGTATAAGTGATGCAGTCCCACAAAGGCAGGCCGAATGGCTGTCAGCCCTGGCCTGTGTGGGTCTGTTTCCTATCTACTCTTTCTCCTGTCCTTGCCGGTTTTCCCTGTCAATCAATGAACCAGGAAGGAATTTATCCCAAAGGAATCCAGTCTAACAACAGACTCTTCCCACCCGGCTCATGGCCCATGCTGGGCCCAGTAGGCAGAGAATGGGTTGCTATAGCTGCTCTGCCTGCCAGGAAAACGCACCCTCCCTGAGACTGTGTGGGCTTTACAAGTCGGACAGTGAGCAAAGGAGCAGGAGTCAAGATTCTAGGTCTCTCAGCAAGCACAGCGGCCTTCTGGGCATGGCTGGTGGAGCTAAGGTAAAAAATAAAACACTGAGAATCCTGGGACTTCTCAGGGAACAGAGGCCATTTAAGATAAAGTGCTTGATTTTGGTTTTAATTTTAGGAGACTTACTAAGAAGAAGGCCTTTGATCCAGGCCAGTGGGCATGGCAGTTTTCCTCTGAACCAGATTTGTGACACAGACAATGAGGGGCAGCCTGTTGTGGTCTACAGCTTGAGGGCTCCCCCAAACCCCGAGTGACTTAGCTTCGGTAATGTCTGTCCCAAGGACTGCCTTCCTCCTCTTGGGCTGAGGCAACATTACCCAGGTTTTGTGTGGGAACCATAGCAGCAGCCTCCTGAGGTGACACACATTCCCTGAGGTCTCCATTGAAAGGGGTGATCACACTATCGCCTCTTCTTCGTTGCATTTTTTCTAGCAGCCTGTCCAGGTCATCGCCTGTGTCAAAATAAAGTGGAGATGAGAAGTTTACAAAGAGGGAAATGCTTGTGTGCCCCTTATCACACTCTCCAGGGTGGGAGTTAGGCTGGGTTTGCACTGAGGTCTGTGGGTCAGCCAGCAACTCCTGTCAGAGTTTACACCTGGTGATCTCTACGGCAGTCTCTACAGCAAGGGCCATCCTTGCTGCTATCATCTCTACAACAGACAAACTTTCACATGCTGTTGTCTCCCTGGACCTCCACAACATCCGAAGCAGACAGAATGGGACAATCCTCCCTCGACATGACAAATGAGAACGCTGGGACGCAGGGAAAGAGAAAGGCGCATCCACGTCATCCACCAAAGGGGCCGCTGAGCCGAGGCTTTGACCCCCGGGCCACGAGTCTTCCCGCGGACTGTGCCTGCTTTCTGTGGTAACAGTCACAGGATTCTGGGGATAAACTATTCCCGGGAAAAGGTCAGCTGGCAGGCTTGCACTCTACATTCATCTCCACAGGCTAAGCTTTGGACTCAGACAGTCGTGCAGTCAGAGGCTGGCAGCGTTGCCAAGTCTTGCGAGCACTCACCTAATGATGTGGTTTTGAAATGTGATGCCAGGAAACTGACCTTTCCTGTGATGAGCTCATAACTAATTTCTTTCAAAAACTCACTTGTGGTGAGCATGCTCTCTGCCAGAGCCCGAGACTGATGCTGACCTGAAGAACAGAAAAGAGACGGCTCATCAGTGGAATGAATGCTCCCCAGATGTTAGTTCTAACCGCCACAGTCGGAGACAAGCATGGTAGACATTTAATCACATGACAGATGTGGACATCTTGTCACATGACATCTGAAATGCAAAGACAACAACAGAAAGTGTTTATAATAGAACGCTAGGTGATCAAGGGAGCAATGATGTACTTAAGTTTGTAATTGTGAAAATGTACACAGAAATATGTTAAAGACTGGGGAAGAGTGTGAAAAAGTATAAACTCGTTTTCTAGGATTATAAATACAAACCTGTCACTGTTTTTATTAATGAAACTGAAAAAAAATAATGTATCACTGTCTGGTGATGCTTCCTAAAAATATATACAATGCAGAAGGATGGGCAGACGGGTGTTTCCAAGGAATGAGCATGTGGCTCATTTGGTGGGAAAAGCTGAGCGCCATCCAGCAGAGAGTGGGGAGAAGCACATTTAGTTCAGACGGCTACACAGAACAGCGGCACAGAATGCGGAAAAGAGCCCTGCACGCTTGGTAATGTACTGACTCTCAGAAACAGTCTTTAGGGCTAATATTCTAGAACAGACTCTGCAGGGAGGAGGGGAGCTAAGTGTGAGCTAAGTTCTGGCCCTCTGACTACGGGGCACCGGCCATCTGTGGCACCGGCTTTGTCACATGTCGGCGTGTAATGTTTCCAAAACTTTTTAAAGACACAAATTACACGCGTCAAGGGTATCTGTTACATGAGTGAGCTTTGAAAGAATGCTCCCACAGCCAGCTGACAGGGGTTCTGGCCAAGCTGAGAGCGTGATGTGAGGGAGAAAAGAACAGTTAAAATTAGGAGGAAGAAGCCAGGTTGGAGCAGACAGATGATTGAATACATTAAATACACAATGCAGAATAACTCACCCAATACCACCACACAAAACTCATTTCCTCTGATTTTTGACGCACAAATTGCTACCACATAATCAGGGAGCCTTTGGTAGTGTCTCATTTCACTGAGAATCCGCAGTGTCTCTGAAATGCCCTCGGCCAAGGAGTTCTGGGTCACAATCACATGAACCAAGTCCGGGGACACACTGGCGATCAGCCTAGCAAGCCAGGGGAGCTGTCCCTGTGACACAGGGACGCAGGAGGCGCCCACTTGCAGGGCTCGCTCTCGCTGAGTGAATTCCTGCATGGCCTTCAGCATAATCTGCTCAAATTCTTCCCTGAGAGGTATCTGATCAGGACCTACATCAAAGAGAATTGCAACTAGAATTTTAAAAAAATCACCGGTGGAGACACCCACCCAGCCCCCAGTCTGCACTGGTCCCAAGGACAGAAACCCCGCTAACCACTTCCCATCGTGAAATTTCCTTCTCTCCCTCTTGTCTTAAAAAAAAAAAAAAACAGGCTTCTGCTCTCCTTTACTTTATTCCCGATCCCTTTAAAAGGGGATCTACGAAGAGAGAGACACTCGGTTCCACTGCCTACCCCGGGAGACCCTCACTGCAGGTATTGCGGACTGAACCCTGCAGCTTCACACTGAGCTGTATTTCTAGGCCTTTTAAAAAACCTTTTTCTGCCTGCCTTGTACGTTCAAGGTCCCGAGTTTGATCCCTAGTATAAAAAAATTTTTTTCTTTGAATTTTGAGATTCGTTCTAAGTTGCTAAGCTGCCCCTGCTGGGCTTGAACTTGTGACTTGAATACGTGCCGTTATGTCCAGCCAGGTAGCAGGATTCTTGACTTGATAACCTGGCATGAGGGACACTGTTAATGACTAATAAAATAAGCCAAACTACTGGTGCAAAGTTAAAGTCTCAGTCATTTCTCATTTTATTTACTGGTACTCTAAAAAACACTTCAGTATGTTATATTTATATTGAATTTTGAAAATAGAGTCTTTATGACTATTAATTAGTTATAACTACCAATCTATATGTTAGCCCCGTACTTTCCCCAGATACAGAATGCTTTCATCATCTAGTTATTTCTTGGTGCCCTGGATTGTTACATATGGTATTTGGGCTGGGTGTGGTAGTATACACCTGTATTACTATCAGCAGTCTAAGAGGCTGAGGCAGGAGGATCACAAGTTCAAGCCCAGCCTGGGCAACTTAGTGTCTCAAAAGAAAAAAAGAAAGAAAGAAGAAAGGAAGGAAGGGACATTTGGCCTCTTCCTCAGCTGTAGAGAAAAGTTTATACTATTGACCTACAGTAGGGGATTAAAAAAAAAATTCTCTTTAGAAACTCAACCAGTTTTTTTTTTTGTTTGTTTTTTTTTTTGGTTTTCTGAGACAGGGTCTCACTATGTAGTTGAGACTGACCTGGAACTCAACCAGTCTTTAAAACAAGATAAGCAAGTCAATGTGTGGCATTCTAGTATCACAAATTAAGATGTCTACATTTACTTTCAATTGAAACCAGTGAGATATATTCACTTCTTCTATTTTATCATTTCTTTTGCTCTGTGAATCTGAGATTTGAAACCCAGGCTCCCATCAACAGACACTGACTCTGAAGTATTTGTGATCTGAGACCAAGCCTTGGCTTCAAAACCCAGGGCAAAAATCCCCTTATGAAAGAACCCAGCAATAAGGAACTGGACTTCTCTCTGGTACCTTGAGTGATTAGTCACTCCTACTGGGATTTCAGTGGCCTCTTGGGCCCTACCAATCTTTTCTGGGAAAGTAAGACAATGAGGGGGTTTTGTACTGTTTTTAAAATAAGAGAAATTAAATAAAATATGATCCATTTCACAAGTAAATAAATTAAAGAACATGGCTTTTCCAGAATTGGTTGGGGGTCAGGTAGAGTTAGAAGAAAGGGATCTTTATAGACGTGTTTCTTATCTTTGCCCAGAACGAGCACGGAGTCGGTAATGCTTAGTGTCAAGTTCATACGTATGTCCTCCCCTCTGTGACCTAGGGGAGGTGACAAGGGTGCTGGTTTCTTCCCCAATCTCTTGGGTATTCCCACTCGGCCGTGTCCAGTGGGCATCACTGTAGAGGTACATACTTAGGGAGCTCCGAGTGGCTGGACTTGTCCTTTCCCATGATAGGAAGGTGGGGGTTAATGTTTTCTTTCACCAGAACACAATAGCTCCAAGCAGGTGGCCTTGACTCCAGCTCCCTCTCTGTTCCTCATTGACAACTGAAGGCTCAGAGGCCTGGTTCGTAGTTGTGATGTTAAGGCCCATTTCAAACCAGGAATGGCGCCAGGGATTTAGCTCAGTGGTTCTGCTGCCTGCCTCACAAGCACAAGAACCTAAGTACGATCCCCGGTACCAAAAAAACAAAACAAAACAAAACAATACTAGGACTGAGCAACACGTTCTATTAGGGAGAATAAAAAATCCCAAATATAAAGGCATTGTGGGAATTAGCCAACATATCCTCAGCAGTCTCTGTGATCATAAATTTCACTTTTGAAGAGTTTTGACTGAATTACTATTAGGGATCAAAAAATAGGGGGAGAAGACTCCAGGTTAAGGGAGGGAAGAGCTCTGTTATGAGTAAAATGCTCTGCCGAGCCTGGTGGCGCACGCCTGTAATCCCAGCACTCGGGAGGCTGAGGCAGGAGGATCACTGTGAGTTCAAGACCAGCCTGGGCTACATAGTGACTTCAAGATCAGTCTCAATTACATAGTGAGACCCTGTCTCAAAAAACAAACAAAAGCAAAACACAACAAAAAAGTAAAATGCTTTGCCCTCCACTCATCCACGCTCACTACCTCATCCTCAGACTTTACAAGCTGACTGCAGTAGCCTTTTTCCATGGTTTGCAAGCCTGACAGGAGTAATTTTTCCTTCAGTAACCGATCTGCAGTGACTCAGTGAAGCCCAGATGTCAGTTCCCACTGCTTTTCAGATAGAGCAAGTCTGACAGGAAGACAAGGTTCTAACAGACCCTCTAGCCATCTTTGGCTTTGTTGATTTCATACCTACTTCAAAGGATTTTCAAGGTTGGAAATAACAGACAAAAAATTTTAAAAGTAACTGTTGTGGAAAGGCCTGTTCCTTCTAAAGAATCTTGGTTTTCTTCTTCTCTATTACCTCTACATATTTGGGCCACAAAACTATCATCACCACCCTTTTAGAAGTTTAGACTTTTTTTTTTTTTTTTTTTTTTTTTTGGTACCAGGGATCGAACTCAGGTCCTTGTGTTTGCAAGGCAGGCAGTGGAACCACTGAGCTAAATCCCTGGCTCTAGAAGTTTAGATTTTTAAAATATCTATTATATTTATTCTGGTTGCTTCTAAAAATCCCTGAAGGCAAAAAAAAAAAAAAATTTTTTTTAACTCCTGAATAGTTGGTTGAAGGATAGAGAAATTCCAATGTACAAAGTTTAGATTAAAAAGAAAGCTAGCCAGCATGGTGGTGCATGCCCGTAGTTTCAGGAGACAGGGGATCACAAGTTCAAACTCAGCCTAGGTAACAGTGACTTAGTGAAACCTTGTCTTGAAATTTAAAATATAAAGGTCTGGCTGGGTGTGGTGGCACACGCCTGTAATCTCAGCACTCAGGAGGCTGAGGCAGGAGGATCGCTGTGAGGAGACCAGCCTAGGCTACAAAGTGAGTTCCAGGTCAGTCTCAACTATATAGTGAGACCCTGTCTCAAAAAACAAACAAACAAAAAATATAAAGGGCTGTAGAAGTAACTCAATGTGAAGGCTTGGGTTCAATTCCCAGTTTGAAAAAAAAAAAAAAAAAAAAGAAAGAGGAGGGGAAGAAAGAGCTATTCATATTGGACATTTTGGATGTCCCAACTGATTGGGAGTAAAATCCTGGAGAGAACTGATCCCGCAGGCAGAAAAGTCTGTAATTAAATTGAAATTTTCTAAGATAAGAGCTTTCAGTCACTTAAAGAAAGGCATTTTGTTTTAACTATGTGGTTTATTTAATTAACTCAGACTCTGGTTTTTTAAATCGTTACCAAGGTTGAAAAAAAATTATACAGTGATCAATCCCAGTGGCTCAGGAGGCTGAGGCCAATTTGGGGAACTTAGGAAACAACATCAAAACAGATGGGGATGTAGCTCAGTGCACAGGTCCTGCATTCAACCTCCAGTAATAAAGAAAGAAATAAAAAAGATATACTGATTGGCTTGTTCTATGAACTTAAAAAAAAACTGACTCTGGGTGCATCGAGAAACTACTTTCGGGGTTAGAAGACCATCCACAGTCCAAAGTCAGTGTGCAGCAAATTAGAGGTACAACACCAAATGAGTTGTAAAGCCAAGTGTTTTTTATAATTTTATTACCTGCCAACAAACACAATCAGCAAATCCTAGGTTTGTCCTGAGAGAGTTCTCCTGGAAAATCTTGCAAGTTCCAGAAGCCCACTTCAAAGAGGAACCCGTATCAGGTTGCCTGTCTGGGAACTTGTAGTTCTAGCCCTTGCTACCCAAGGCTACAAAGGCTAAATCTGGCTTGCTGAAAGTTTTGGTTTTTGAACACTGTTTTATCTCAGTATGTTTATTATTTAGCACCAGAGTTTTTTCCTTAACACTAAAAAAATATCATGAGAGCCAGGGATTTAGCTCAGTGTCACTGCGCCTGCCCGGCAAGCACAAGGTCTTGAGTTTGATCCCCACTACGGGGGTGGGGGGTAGATCATGAGAGTGCATATGAAATTATTTATGTATAATTTTATATCTCAAGTATTTTTCTAAAAGAAATGAGTGGCTTGATTCCTGGAGTGAGTGTATAATCAGGCTGCATATTAATGGACTGCTGCAGTTTGCAAAATAAAGGGCATTTCTATGTAAATGCTGCCAAACAACATCAGCATTGTCAGGACACCTGCTGGACCCAGTGAGGCTGAGGGGCAACAGCAATAAGGAAAGCGAAGGGTTCATGACCCATGCAGCTCCCTTACCTAAAGCCTAAAGAACCTTGCAGGGCAGCCCATGGTTACCGCTTACCTGAAGGAAAACTTGGGACTACATCAAAGGGGTGTACCAGAAGGAAAAAATGGGTGTAGAGGCAGCAGACACACAAAGTAAGAAGGGTAACTGGAAAAATGGAAAATCATCATCTAAAACAATGGCCATGCTAGCTAGCATTCCACATGGCAGTTGAGCTTTCAGGAAGGTGGCCTGGCCGGGCTCCCCAGGAGAAGGGGGCCAGGACACATCCGGGGTTCTGCCTGCATTGGCTGCTTTGAAGCTCCAAGGACACTAGGTGGAGTAATTCATCTCTCTTAGGACCCAAAGAAACAGAGCCAAGGAAGGAAGCCGAGCCACGGAGGAGAGCAAAGGGCAAAGCTGTAGAGGATGGGGTTAGAGGGGAAGAGTGCTAGAAGTGAAAGAAGGAAAACAACAGACAGGCAGACGGGTGAGCATGAGAAAGAAAGGAAACAGTGCCATACAAAAAAGAATAAAAACAGCCATCAGCAAATGATTATGGAAGATAACTTACCAAGCCTCACAAGATACTGTATCGTCAGAAGGATCATGTTTTCTACACTCAGGAGTTGGCTGCCAGTCAACCCTAATTGTTCCAAATCTTTGTTTTCCAACTGTGGAATCTTGTAGCAATTCACCAGCAGCGGACTCACCACAATGTCACCAACATTTCCATAGAAATAGGGTAAAGTGCCATAGCCTGCCCCAACAGAAGCAGATCAACACAGTTCACCATTGCTTTCTGCAATTCAACATTGCTTTCCGCGATCTAACCTGGGAGCATACTGCTGAATGAGGAACAAAGACGCTTAACAAAATTCCCTGCCCTCCGACATTGCTACCAAAACAGACAAACTGCTCAAATATATCCAGCCTCTGGAATTCACCTCAATGCTCCAAATTCCATCTCTATATTAAATCAGTTGAAGCAAAATATTCAAATCACTTTTCTGTTTCTTACAGAAGGGATCTGTTAATATTGTATTGCTGCCACCAGGCGTGGTGGTGCACACCTGTAATCTCAGCACTCAGAGGCTGAGGCAGGAGGATCGCTGTGAGTTTGACACTAGCCTGGGCTACACAGTGAGTTCCAGGTCAGCCTCAACTACACAGTGAGACCCTGTCTCTAACAAACAGACAGACAAACAAA